GTACGGATCTGAACTCCGTACATTTCTCTACAATTATAGAAAAGTGTTTTGCAACGGGATTTCACTACATTAAAAAAAAAAAAAAAAACTTTGGAAACAGTTCATGAATTTTTTGATCTTTTTTTTTTTCTTATATGTCATCCAGACCCAGAGACTTTTTTAAAAAATGTTTTCCATTGTGCTTTTGACTACATCCACAAACCTCTCAGTGTCTACTTTTTCTTTGTGATCTATGGTAACTATGAGTATATACCCTCTGAAGAAATTATTAGAATGATCCTACTTATAAAAATAGAAAAATTCTTTGATCTTTTTTCTCTATATAAGCTGTAACTACAGCTTGTTTAGGGATATGTCTTACTTTCCATTAACCTTCTTTCTCCTACATCAGAAGATTTTGTAAACAATTTCCTGAGTGTTTTAGGACTTCAAATATCCTTTGCCTTGAATATAATAAGGATATAAAGGCTGCAAAAACTGTGTCTTTGCACAGCTGCTTTGTAAGTTGCTCCTGGCTGTCTCTGCACATACCACAGAATGACTGATATGTATATGAATGTGGAAACAGCACATGGTGGAGCACCTCTTTCCAATGTTTTGCCCTGCTCCTGCATGTTGCAAAGCATCTATTTCACATGCTTTGCATTGGCCAACAATGTAACCAGTGCTACATATAAGGGTTGCTGGTCTCTGGAGCAATTACTTTATATGAGGGGGGGGGCAGAGGAATTACTTTGAACTGAGGGCTATATTTTTCTAGGCTAGCACACTCAGGACAGAACCACCTCAGTGCCATCCCCTGTCTCAAGTGACCTGTGATATTTTTTGCCTGGAGCAGCCACAAACCATTTGCAGACACAAACATTCTGGAAAGTTTCTTTCCCCCAACTCAGCAGGCTAGCTCAGCTGTTAAACTGCATAAGTTTATAAAGGAGCAAAAACTATTTCCTAACCTCATCCCTTCACAGAGGTAACTTTTAGGAGATGTATTTGGAAACAGAATAGTCTTCTCCTGCCTAACAGCCATTCCCCTCCTCCCAACTACTTATAGCAGGAGTTTTATTGGCTTGCATTAATATTAATATTTTTAATATGATTGCAGAGTAGGTCTGAATTTGGATATGGAGGCCCAGTACTGGGGACCAGTACTTCGCTTTTCCTTCCCTTTTCTTCCCACTACAGGGCCTTAAATATTGCTTTTACTAATATTATTGGAAGGTATTTTAAAGTCTTATAATAGGAAAAGTCAGAAGATAAGAGGCCATTAAATTTTTTTGGCTGGAGAGAAGGGGGCAATGTCTAAAATAGGAGGAGCTGGTCAGCATCCTAGTTGCTTGCAGCAATGATAGGCAGCATCCAGAGATTTTCCTGAGCAAATGGATGCTCTCTGATCAGTGAGGCCCATTATGGCAGCCATTTTAGAAAGAGACAAATCCCTTGTGGCAGCCATTTTGTGAGTGTCCCCACCCCATGCTCTCAAACTCCCAAATGTATTGCCATGTTGATTGTCATGTTTTCAGTGAGAAATCAGTAATTAGTGGATTGTTGAAAAAGAAATACTTTTTGAAGTATTTGGCTACTATAATCCATTGGAACTTTTTTCTAGATACTTGAAAAAGAAATACTTTTCAAGTATCTGGCTTACTATAATCCATTAGAACTTTTTTCAAAAAATAAAACTGAAGAATGCTTTTAATGGCCCCCCTAAATTGAAATATTATTTAAGTTATTAAAACTCATAGCAGAAAAAAAACTACCCATAACTCTCACCTCATTTGTTATGGTGGTACTAAACATTCATCAATTCATAATAGAATAGCTGGTTTCAGCAAGGTATTGAAATGGCAGTGTTGCCCTTTTAATTCAAGTGCATTCCATGTCAACCAAGAAAAGTCCATATCATGAAACTGATCAATGTGTGTCATCTAATTGCAGGATAGATAGATGCTTCCTTCTTTATTTACGAGTGTGGGAATATTTCTTCTTTTACTTCCTTTGGGGGAAAAAAGTTTTGACCATCTTACTCATATTCTTCTTTGTTCATTTGTACAGCCTACATAGCCATATATTATCATAGTTACATTTTCTTAATTTATGGTATTTAAAATCTGTACAATCAAGGCATTCAGTTCCATGGAGTAATGTGATTTCATACAACCAAACACAGACTGTCAAAGGGCATATATAAAGTGAGACATGGATTGGGTACATTAAGTCCCCATTGTCTTAACACATTCTAGTGTTTGAATGCCAAAAGAGAGCTTATCTGATCATTTTAATCTGGAAAAATTGGTTCAAATGAAACTGATGGTTTTCCATGCATTATATAATTTACTGTCAGCCTTCCCAGGTAGACCAGACAGGAACCATGACCACATGAGCTAATTCTACTTTATTGTAATGCTACATTAACAGAATCTTGCAAGTCTGAAAGTAGAAATCTTTTTTATAGTCTGATAAATTTGGGAAGTTCCTTTCTGAGTTTCTTTCTCTGCCTGTTATTTATTTATTTAT